TTTGCTAAGAAGACAGAACAAATTTTACAGAATTACTTAGTGAAATTGGTAATCTATAATTACTTTGAGAAAGGTTTAGTATGCTTCTTAGTACCTGATAAAATATGCCAACAAAAAGTCAGTAAGCATAAAGAGCACTCGAACAATATGATTAACAACCCAACCTGATGCCCAACACTGCATGCAACATTGTCGTCTTGTGTCTCTATAATTTATAGAAAACCTTTTTGCTGGGAGGAGCTGAGCTACACACTGCACAAGGAACAGCCAAATGTTTGAGAATTGTTGGTAGATAGATGAAGAGAGGGGAGAAGAAAGGTGCATCCTTAAGGGCATGAAGATAAGATATGTATTTGGAGAGCCAGTCTAGGGATTATCCTAAGAGATGTGATCTTCACCAGCCAGAACTCTCCATGAGGGTGGATCAAAACAGGATGCCCCAAATTGTTTTCATTGTTTGGTTTTTGGTGCCCACTTTTTATATGTGTTCCTGTTCTTTGACTTTGGACTTGGTGTTGGTATTTGGTCTTATTGGATTGACTACCCTGGGTAGGGTGATGGCTACATTAGTTAGAGATTCATTCTCAATTGTAGCTCTAGACTTCTGTCCAGATTCCCTTTTAGGACTGCATATATACTCCCTTCCCAGTCTGATAAAGGGCTGGTAATGTGGACACTTTTGTTTTCTGGACACCTTCATTTTTAGGTCTCCATTTATAACTTTTCATTTCTTGTTGGGCATCTACTACATATCAGGCATAAGGTATTCTATATATTCAATTGTAACAATTTGCTCTTGAATCTGTTACCTATTCCATATCCACACTGCCATTGGGCCCTCATCTTTTCTGCTCTGGTATATTCAATAATTTTGTTTTTCTTGCTTATAATTTATTCTTACATTGCTTCCAAAGTCATCCTTCTGACATCTAAATTTAAATAATTTATTGCCTTGTTTATAAAACCTTGAAAACTCTTATGTCTTTATGATACACTTAAAACTACTTTGGCATTCAAGGCTCTTAAAATTTAACAGTAATCAATCTCTACAATTTCTTGCATAGCCTCTCATTTTTCTTTTCTTCATACTCACCTCACCCTTTTCCCATAGACACCACACTCTGCCATCTTTCTTCCTTCGTGTGGCATTTCTTGACTCTTAAATATTACACCGCGTTGGTCTTTCTCGACCTTCCTGTCAGGGGCTCTATATTATTTCTGACCTCATTCGAGTTTCTCCTTATTTGTGAAGCCTTCTATTAATATTCTAGGTTGAGTTAGGAACTCTCTTTTCTGTCTTATCAAGAGTACCTTGTGCTTATGTGTGTTATATAGATTTTCACAATGTTTCTTGATTATCTGTTTGGATTATATATTCCCTTTCTCATACTTATAGCCATTATTTGTAGGTCAGTGACCATGTCAAATTCATATTTTGACCTTAACAAGTCTCACACTCTATCCTTGGGTCTCTGTTTTAGTCTCTGCTCCTTTTGACTTTTTTCATCACTATTTCATTTTCATTCTCTGTGTCAGTTCTTATACCTTTTTCTCTTGCATTTTCCTTCTTACCTACTTGTCTCCTTCAGGCCAAGCTCTCCTTTTCAGGTCGCTCCAGAGATATGTGGATGTAGAGTGTGTTCCTTCCCCGATTCTTTTAAAGTTTTATGGCTCACAGATTTAGTCCAGGTTCTGGCTTCCTGTGTGGGAAAGGGCCTGGATTTATAATAAGGTCAGGAAAAAAAAAAAAAACCAGTTTCACCATGTTTTAACATTTGTTATCGTTAAGGCCCAAGAGTCTTGAATTATGTGTTTAGTAATGACTCTTAAATTTAAAAATCATCATAAGGATTATCCATTGTAAACTGGGTTCTTCCCTCCCTCCCTCCCTCTCTGCGCCTCCCCTCCCCCCCTCAATTTAACCTCAAAGGCAAGAGAAGTAAAAGCAAAGATTAAATGAATGGACTAGTTTAGTGGTTAACAGAGGATGGGGGAACAGGGAGAGGGGAGGAAGCTAGGGGTAGAGGAGGTCAACTATATGGTGATGGAAGGAAATTTAACTTCGGGTGGTGAACACAATGCAATACACATGACATATTATTGAATTATATGCTTGAAACCTATATAATTTTATTAACCAATGTTACCCCAATAAATTTAATTTAAAAAAGTTTGAATAGGGTTCCACAGTAAGAGAGCTAGTAGTTGATACTGGGAGGGAAAATGAAAGAATCACAGATGGATAATGTGGGCAATAAATATATGAGAAAACAGCAAAAATAAATAAATAAATAAATAACTGAAAAAAAAAAATAGGATCCCTGTATCAGGCAGAGTTATTGCCAGAGAAAACCTTTTTGTCTAAATAGGGTCTCTGTATCAGGCAGAGAGTTATTACCAGAGAGAACCTTTTTGTCGGAAAGACTTATATGCATGGTATGGGAAACATTTGTTTACCAAACATTTGCTCTTTTCATCTTTCTGTGAATTGTCTTCTACCCCTTTGAAGTTCCAGACTCCTAACCCCTTTCTCTTAGCTCAGGATGATATATTAGTCTCAAGTGCCTGATTGCCTTTGTGTTCTCCAGCTTCTCTGCCCAGGGCTTTATTATATTCCTTACCCAGTTCAAGTTTCTCCTTATCCGTGAAGTCTTCCACTTATCTTTCAGGTTGAGTTAGTGCCTCTCTTCTCTGTACTTACAAAAGCACCTGTTACTTACATGAACCATAATAAAAATATTAAACTTTTCTTGAGCCCTTTACTCCTGGAAAACAGTTATAGAAATCTATCCACCCTTCTGTGCTCTAAGATATGGCTTACTGCAGAGAACCACTCTTCCCTGTATGACTTAGATAAGACTCATCGATGTCTCCCTTTTTCATTTGTAATGAAGCCACAGACCCTTTAAGTTTCCTTTTTTTTTTTTTTGCTTCAAAAAATATGAGCTGAACTGTATGTCTTTTTTGATCAATCAAAACAAAATGCTTGTAACTAAACCTTAATTAAACTTCTCTCTAGGCCCCTGAACTTTGACCCACCTCTTTCTGACTCAGCAAATATCCCCTCCTTAAGATCCTGCCTAAGTATCAGTAAACCTCAGGGAAAAATGTTTCCTGATTATCTCACTCCCTCCATACCCCGTTCTTCCTAAAAAAAACCTTGTTGACCCTTCCTCATAAAAAGAAATTCCTTTTTGCCTGGCCTGTCAGCTGTATGTTTGAATTGTTTTCTCTATTGCAAGTTTCCTTCCCTTTATTGCAATAATCCTTTCAAATAAAGTCTCTTTTTATCTGTCCAGATTTATTTTTATGTGGTAATACAGAATACCGAATTGTTTAGTTGTCTATTTAGATAATATACTCCCTTTCCCCCGATTTAGAGCTGTTTTTGAAGCAATGACAGTACCATATTCATGTTTGTGTTCTTAGCATGTCTTAATCTGCTTGTGTCTGACTGTTCCCTGTGATTATTTTCATCAATTTCTGTTTCTACTTTAGTCTTTGAGTCTGTCTTTGTATGTGTCCACCCCATTCCTTCTTTACCTACCTGTCTCCTTGAAGCCAAGCTCCTGTTTTCAGTTTGCTCCAGAGAGATCTGCCTGTAGAATAAGTTCCTTCCCTGAGTCTGGTAGGCTGCTGACACATCTCCAGCCCAGACTCAGGCTCCTGCTGTGGTTGAGGTTCTTGAATTTATTCATTGAAGAGGAAGTGAAAAAAATGGTTTCACTTTTGTTTCTGTTTTTTTTTTTTTCCTTAAAAAAAAAATAAGCTGATTAAAAGGAATTTGTTTGCTTGTTTATATTGGGATTCCTGGGATTTTATTATTATGCAATTAGAAGACTAATGTTGGTGTGTGTGTGTGTGTGTGTACCAATGGTGGGGGTTGGGTGAGCACAAGATAATGAACATAGAAGCAGGATAAGGAAAGAATTTGGGAGAGGAGACATGGGCAAATATTCTAGAGAGGTGTCTGTCTTAGGGAAAGTGCTTTGACTGCTTTACTGTTCTTGTTACTCAAGAACAAAGAGAGAAGCATGCTCTCAATGCT